TGTATCGTGATATATATTGTTACCGCCACTCATCACAATGTATATCGTGATATGTATTTTTTGCCATATCGCACATTCCTACTCTGGACCTATTACACACAGAGAGCTGCAACGTCCCGTCAGCCCAGTTCTGACTGGGGGCCATGCACAAGACGGCTGTCACCGGGGGAYAGCAGCGGGAGAGCAGACAGAAGTTGCTTTTTTGTCACTCAGCAGGGGAAAAAGATGTGAGACTCAAACCAGGCTTAAGACCTGCAGTGTGAAGGCAGCCTTATTMAGTGGATTGATTGCAACTGGACATTTGCCTGAGATGATTTTTTTTCCGGAGAAGAACTCTGTGCAGGTGAAAAAAACACAACTCYAGTGCTCTTGAGACTTAAAGGTCCATGAGGACTTTTGACTATTTTGAGAGAAAATGTATTGGTTAATCTTTTGGAACAGGTTCAAAAGTCAAGCAGAAGGACTGTGCGTTTCACAAGAAAATAGAGAACAGTGATTCTGAGTCTTTCTGGAGACTCCTTCATTAGTGCGGTTCATCAACTAGTTGCAGTCAAGTGAGATGCCACCTTTATTAATGGATTATTGATAGTGTACCACCCCACAGCTAAAATATCTGATAGTGAATATCTTCACTAATGCCGCTATTCTGTTTTTACATTGAAACTGCAAAAAGAGAAAAGTCCCAAATTTCTTACCAAGCACAGTAAGTGTCTCCATGAAGAAGCTGACGGGTCAAGAAGGCAGAACATAAACTGAATGCTGCTTGGTCATCTCCATCTGAGTCCAGGTTACAGATCATTTCCAGAGCATCACGACAGTCCTCCTTGGAAAGCTGAAAGGTTAAGAATGAACATTATTTGCACAACTCTACTAATTATATTTTAAAATTTTTCTTTAAAAGAAGAAAAACGTTTTGTATAGTAAAAGCCTTCACATACTCCATCCAAAGCCAAACAGTCARCACGTGGTCACATGGCTGTTCAGCTTTCATTTGCACACATCWTTCATAGTCGTAGTTACCATTAATAAATAGCTCGTTTTATTGGTGCTCAAAAATGACAAGTTAACAAGCAAGCAAAGAGCTATTTTCACCCAGATTGTGATGACTATTTTATGTCTTAATGTGAAGTCTCTCTTATTTGTAATTTCAGCACAGCTTTGTCCAAAAGGAGTAACTTGAAACATAATTTTAAAACAGCACAAACGCTACTAGGGCTGGGTATAGGGTTGGGCGATATTGGCAAAAAAATTAATCACAATTAATTGTGGTGTTTAGCCGATAACGATTAATTTGGCGATTATGTATGTATGTCCTGGTCTCATGACCAATTTAGTGGGAAAGATTTGCTCTTCATAAAAATCTGTTCCAAATTGTCAAAATTACAGACTTCGGGCTATATATCAAATTTTAAATTGTGTTGATANGATATAAATGATATACGGTAGAAAAATTAATTTGTCCTATGATAGAGATCTGTAGTCTACCGGCCAACCGCGCAATACTTTTTGATGATGTAACCRGCTGGAGTCAAAACAGAGGAAGCGGGAAGCAGCGAGGCTGAGAGCGCAAATGAAGAGGGGAAGAAAACTTATTCGGACCTGGTTCGGGTGTGTGAAAATGAACGCCTAACTGTTTACATGTTTATGTGACGGCGCGTCCTCCGGTCAGATGCCGACCGACCGACCGACCGACCGACCACACTGCCTGCTGCGGGAGGAGCGTGCGCCGCTGCATGTGTGAAGGGCTCGACACACGGGAGGCGACGTCGCTCACTCTCCATTCATTTCCACGCAGAGAGGCGACTGTCAGTGCAGGTGAAGTCAGTGCTCAGGTGGGACGCACAAAAATCAGTCTGGACCTCGTTTCTCCTGCGGTCATAGCGCGACGACGCACGGCYGAATGCGCGCGCACTCCAAAGCGCGACTATAATGATTGTCACCCCGCCGGAGCGTGCACAGATTAAACAGGTGGAGTGCAGAAAAAATAATCTGCAAAGTGTGTAGRAAGGAATAAAWACAAACAATTTGTTTTACCACCTTAAAACGAAGCTGGTGATTCCAAAACAAAACATCCAATGGATGCAGATATCTGTTACATTAAAGTTATTGTTTGTGTGTGTGTGTGTGTGTGAGAGAGAGTGTGTGTGTGTGTGTGCGTGCGTGCGTGCGAGAAAGTGTCTCTTAAAAAAGGAGATTTTAAGGTCTAAATTTTTTTACCAATACATATTTATTCCACTCAATTAATGTGTGATTTATTTATTTTCTATTATAAGTTTTATACACTCCTGATCAAAATCTTAAGACCAGTCAAAAAAGTGCAAGAATTTGCATTTTGCACTATTGGATCTTAAGAAGGTTCAAAGTAGAGCTTCACAATGTTAGAAGAAATCAGTGCAAGAGACAAGAACTTTTGAGCAGGGAATTTTCTGAAAACTGTATTTACACTCAAACATCATTTTTTCAGCTGATCAAAAGTTTAAGACCATAGTCTTTAAAAGCCAAAAGCTGTGCAAAAATCTGGATTCATGTCATTTTCTGTCAAGTCTTTACACTGTCAAGACCTCCTGATGGCAAAAGTAAAAAAAGCTCACTGACTTTGAACGTGGTAGGATTGTTGAGCTGCATAAGCAAGGCCTCTCACAATGTGCCATCGCTGCTGAAGTTGGATGCAGTAAGACAGTCATTTTGCATTTTTTTAAATTAACCTGACGGTTATGGAACAAAAAAGTCAAGTGGTAGACCCCAAAAAATTTCACCAGCTCTGAGCCGCAGGATCCGATTGGC